CCATTGTAGGTAGATTTAATCTCGTTATAATTAAATAGCGCGTTAAAAACTCGGCCTTTATGAGCATTTTGCCTCACCTATGGCTATGCTCTCGGCGTATTATGCTATGGTCACGAAGCGAGATAGTAACCCAGTAACACGCGGAAAGAACGACTATTGATCGGTCGATGCGTCTCTAATCAGCGACTGCTAGGCTGTTTCATAGTAAAGATTGAATTTCCAAGTTGGAAAAAAATGCCAGATTGCTTTTTGACATTTATGCTCTATGATGAGAGACTCGGAATATTCTGCATACATATTATAAGAGCAATAATACTACAACACTATGCTAATAGGGATCGCGTATCATAAGTAAAAACTAAAGTAACATAAAGGAGTGAGGTAATTCAGAAAATCTTGTTTATTTTACAAAATCTTTTACGTAAAAAATCAATTATTTTTAAACTTTTATCCCGCGCAATTAATTACTTAAACTTAATTGTCGACTTACGCGCGCGACCTGCGCGAGTGGCGGGATCGCGGGGATAATTAAAACAGAGTAGAATTTATCTCGTCTGCGAAGGTTAATTCTTCTCGTACCTGCTTGGTAGGCACTGTGTGACTGTCAACAGCCTCCACGCAGCTCCGGGTAAAACGATATGCTACCAAGCAGAGACAAGGGAGGAGGGATGCTTTTATCGGTCGTAAAACAACGTTAGGCACATCCACGATAACGAGGGAGTCGCGAAATGCCGTGTCGAAACGGCGACGTGGTACCGGGGTGGGGGGGGGGAGGGACGAGGGAAGAGCCGAAGGGAAATCCAATCGCTGGTGGAACAACACACACGTGATATTCCGGAGGAGGAGCGCATATATGAACGTCGTTGTCGCGACGTGCAATATCGCCTCGCAATTTCGTAATATCGCCGTTATATTGGCGACGATTTAAAATGTCGTAAAGCGAAATAATGCGACGGAGAGTGTGGTACTCCGGGTTGTAAGAATATTCACGCACGAAACGCCGGCGATCTCGCGAGTCAGCGAAATTTCGTTACGAGGGGAAAGCGTTTGATTTCGAGGATGGGTTTAACATCGCGAAGCGAATCGACTCGTGAAATCCAGCGCGCAGTTATTGGCAGTTATACGACGAGTTTATCTCAATCGCGTTAATTCTCGATGTATATACATGCCGTTACGATATCAATATTAATATTAATCATTTTATAATTTGGCTGGTTACAATTTAGAAAATTATCGTTGTTTTGCATTACACGTTTTTTTTTTGCATCTCTTCTCAATCACGGAGGAGGATAATTACGTTGTTTCCACACTATCGATATTTCAACGTATTTCGTTGGTGGAGAGAATTGTATTAAAGCTGAGAGAAGTCTTGAAAATAACAAGTGGGCAACGACTTAATGTCTCGCTTATTTTTAATTAAGCTAACATTATATGCAGAATTCAAACTCGAAATTTAATTATCAAGGTGTTTAGCGTTGAAGTCCAGATGTGCAAAGAGCTAACACAGTCCGTGATCTATGCAGTGATGACTTTTATGTCTCTTCGAGGTCGATGTCGCCTTTCTACAAGCAATGTAACGAAATTCCTACGAGAGGAAATGTGCTACGTCGGGGGGCGGGCGGTAATCGTGCAACCAGGACACATCATTTCCGACGGCTAGCGCTTCGTGTAAAGGTTGATCGAACGAGGGTGGTTGAGGGGGGGAGGGGAAGGGGGAGGAGGGGGGAGAACGTTATCCGTTGCACAGAGTCATAACTTCGAAGGAGCTTGTAATAACGATAAAACACGACGAAGAAGCCTGGCCGAGTCAGGGAAAGCTCTCCCTTTCCCTCCCTCCCCCCCCCCCTTCCTCTCCCTCTCGCCCTCTCCTCTATGTGTTTAAACCGACGAAGTTAGGCCGGAAGTAGTAAACTCGCCCGGAACCCAGGAAGCTCGCCGCGTTAACTTCGCTCGTCGGACATCCCTTAAAATATTATATACACGTGGCCGGACTTAGATTGGTCTGAGCCACGCCGCCGGGCTTTACTGCCGCTAAACGTTTCGCTCCTGATATCGCTCAGTGCACCGTTTAAAAATCAATTTACCTGCGGAAGCCTCCCCCCCCCCCCCGATAGTACACGCCGTTATTAACTTCCTGTTGTACCCTGCGATATCCAACACCTCCCAACACTTCCTTTATTACTTTACTAACGTCAATAACGCGAGCGGGAGGAAATGAGTGAGAGATAGTGTGACGGTTATATTCCAGGATAAATTCCCTCCACGAGAAACTCGCGAAAGGATACTAAAGGAAAAATATAAAATATAACTTAAACGAAACGTACGCATCCTGTATGCTTCTGTAGAAGCTACTGCTCCCGCGTATGTATAATTATTGCTAATAAATTTATGAAAGTTAAATAGCGAGGAAGGCTATCTCACGTGCGAGAGATAGACGACTGATTCTGTCCTGTGTGTTTGGGAGACAGTTTCTAAATTGCCGGGGCATATCGGGTCACTCTGGTGTCAAGGCCATGCCAGGACGAAAGCCTATTGCAAAGATACCCCCCCCCTCTCTCTCTCTCTCTCTCTCTCTCTCTCTCTCTCTCTCTCTCTCTCTCTCTCTCTCTCTCTCTCCCTCTCTCTCGCATAATTCTCTCCCTCTCGTACATACTCGCGCCGCGAGCGTCTATTTAATTTTAACGACCGACTAATCCACTACGTGCGGCTCCGGCTTTTTGCTCGTTATCAAGGACCCGAAGAGCGGGGGGAGCGTTGCTTATGCGACGACGCAAATTATCCTACGGGGGTACGTCCACACTGTGCTACCGATATACCATCGCGCACAGATATCCGGATATAATTTATGTTTGAAATTTCGGAGTACAGATACGCGGAGTACTCATAGCTTTGATCGGCGCTGTGAAATTAGATGTCACAGGTGCCTGGGCCACCAATTTTGAATCGTGGCTTTGATACTCACGTATTTGATGTTGACGTACGTTCGAATATTCGAGATTGTGGGTTTTCTTCGTCGTACCTGGCGCCTCAATCATAGTCAATTATTATAAAGGTGTTCCAAGCTATATTTCGATCTCGTCTCTTGTGATATTGAAGCTCGTTGCGGCGTCGATGTTTTTTTTTATCGTCGATTGTGGAATCGCGGTTCGCGGAAAGAGGAGCCTGCGAAGAAAATTATTGCCAGGGAGGCGACGATGAGTTATCGTTTGCGATTGTTACCGGCTGTATCGCATTCGGACTATAATTTTACGGGAGATTCGCGCGGCACATTTATTCGCCGTGCATCACCAAGAGGGGCGGGAGGGGGGGGGGGAGGGGAAAGGGAGAGAGAGATGAAACAGGAAGAGAATTCGTTTTCCTTTTTCTCTCTCCTGCAGGACAAGTTATTTACCGGACTGGAAACCACCCACGCTTCTAATCCCAAATAAAAGCGTTCGGCGGCAAACCGGAACGGCTCGCCCTCTTCATCGTGCTCGCTCGTAAAGGACGGGCTTCCGTTTGCCAAGAGATGAACGTCGAAACGTTCATACTCGGGATATGGATGGACGTATTTATCCCAGGATCATTGAGCACGTTGAAAACTTAGGTACGTCGCATCCGCTCACCGATAAATATATTCATCCATATAACGATAAACTCTCGAAAAAAATCGCAGTCGAGATTTTTCCCTTTAAATAAAAAGATTTTCCGCGATATGGGAATAATAATAATAATAATAATAATAATAATAATAATAATATTATTATGGCGGTTACTTAGCGTCGTATATACACATATGATCTCTACCAAACAGCATGCGCGCTTTCTCAAGAATGCTTCACTGCTTGGTAGCTAGAATGCTACCAAAATGGAATCCTCGGCTCACCAGGGATCAGGTGGAAGGGGAAGTACGTACAAAGAAGAAGCACGTACACGTGTGCTCACGTATGTGCTTCTCGGAGAGGCGAGACTCTCATTCTGGCACCTCTGCGCCTCGCGCGATTTTCGCCCCAATAGACGAGTGCCAAAAAGTGACCAAAATTGGAGACGAGTGCCAAAAAATGGCCAAAACTGGACTCTAGCGGGAATGCCAAAAGATACATGGTGAGATATATAAGCTCCAAAGCGTTCGAGGCCACACTTGTAATATCGCCGCACAGATCACCGAGTTGAAGGGATAAGATAGGCGGCCGCTCGAGACATCGAGCTGATAAGCAGACGGATCAAGGTGTTGGATCGGTCTTTTGCTGCTAGCATCGCAACATAGACATCGAGTGAAGGAATACAAAAGCGGCAATTGCATATTTAGCATCACACCCACCTCACAGCTACAGACGACGGATCGAGGTAGCTCAGCTGTTCAGAGTAGCCCTGCCGTCGAAATGAACAGTAAACTATTCTAGACGACAGGCTTGTGAGCCGGCAATCACGGAAAGGCAATCATAGATGGACGAATCGAGAAGGAAGTCCTTCTTCGTCTTTATTATGACTCTAGCTTGGATCGAAATTCTGATGCGCCATGCTGCCTTACTCGCACCGGGAACACACCTTCAGCGTTACGAGGTCGCTGGGGACCACAGCAGTACATTCTAAACCTTACCGACTCTCGAATGAGCGAGCATAACTAAGTGAGAGGAACAGACTAACTTGTATAGTTTGATGATAGTCTACAGCGCGCATAAAATACACAAATAATTGTATCAATCCATACCAAGCGACTTAAATCCGCACTACAAATACGCGCATGCCAAATCCTTTCTGTACATATGTATATAGTTAGCCTCTCTATCAATAAACATTCGTATATACATACTAAATCAGAGATTAAATTCACTTGGACCACACACACGTCATCCATACATATACAACACACACCCACAAATACATAATAATTTTCAGATCTGTCTGTGGCAAAATGTTCTCTTAATCGAAAATTTGATTTGAAATAAATAAATAAGTGAAATTTTAAGATTTAAACTTTAATTTTCCAGTATGTTCATGAATGTTCCTTCTTCTTGCAGGAATCGATACGATCACGCGTGGCGATGGATTTTACCGGTAGCGTGGGCAGGATAGTCGAAGATCCTAAAGAAGCTAAGGACATAGCCGAAAACGAAGGCATGGTCTGGCGACGGAGATGGCGACCGTTTTCACGAACACCACCAGGATGCGCCATGATGAGGCTGCATGGCCTTGATGCCGGTATACATGTTCTTCAGCCTTGGTTCCACGGCGGCCTCAAGAGGGATGTCGCGGCAGCTATTATTAGGGATCACGGTAGTGTTGACGGGTAAGTTCAATCCTGTCAATTAATCAACTTCTCGAGTTAACTTCATGAAAAAACGCGATTTAAATTTCGAGGCGAATTAACTAGATCGCAAAGTTACTTCTCGTTCTGATCTACGGAGATCGCCAAGATATAAACTTACATATAATTTAAAGCAAGAAAAAGATTTCGTGTGTGTGTGTAAATATATATATATATATATATATATATATATATATATATATATATAAAATTTAGAAAAATTAACTTATACAAAATTAAACACATTTAAAAGTGAACAAATGAAAATAAACAGAGTTTAATCGAATTTTTGTCATAAGAAAATACTTGAAATCACAATATGAAAATTATGGTCACACATGGATGTGTTGTCACGTACACGATAGAATATTCCATGAAGAATTGAACTTCACCCGAGACAAAAAATTTCTAAATTGTAGTCCAAAGCTGTGGTAGTTAACGCTTCTCGCTCATTCGATCGCGAGCGAAGCGTCGATTAATAATGCGTCATCACCGATTGCAACAGCGGTATCGTCATTGATACGTCAATGATGCTGCCCGAAAATCCCGATCGATGTCGATGTTAGCGACGATAACCGTCATCATCCGGGCGGGAGAGGGTCCGCCTCAAACCGGTTGAGAGTTACGACCTCGAAGCTGTTGGCACGGGCGACACGCCTGGCTGACGCTTGCGTAATCTTCAACACGATTATTACGAGCGATCGTAAATCACGATGAATTCCTATCGACGAACATTCTATTCCTTTCGCCCACCTGCGCTCCTCTCGTCTCTCTCTTTGTTATTTTAGTATCTTATTATTTGCTAATTCGCCCGTGGCCGTCCGCGTATTTGAATTTTAATGGCGGCACTCAATCACCGGCGAGCCAACTTTGTTTGCTTTACACGTGATAATGTTTCTCCAGCGCATTCTAATAATAATCGATAATACTTTTTCCCATCATCCGATAAAATATGAGAAAATGTCGTACAGAGAATAAAGGTAACAACGCAAAAATGTGAAGCGGAAAGGAAAAACATTGGGAAGGGGGGGGGG